ACCTTGTACGGCACTTCTCCCTGCCAGTTGCCCCTAAAAAGAGAGGAGAGCATCACCTCTGAGCACCACCACCGGCGCCGGAGGGAGGGCGCTGGGAGGCTTCCCTCCATGCACTTACTTGAAAGCGTAGTTGCAGACGAGGAGGACGGCGTGCCGCAGCGTGCTGCCCCACACACGTATGTTGGTGCATGTGCTGAGGGCACAGCCCAGGCGGCTGGAGGATGCCCACACCATCTGCACCGGGACAGAGAACAGGAGCTGTCAGTGACCGTTCACCCACATCGACCACCCTAGGACCCCAGCACAGTGCTCCTTCCTACCAGGGAATTGCATCCCACCTAGCAAGTTCCTTGGGATGGATGCTATACCCATCACGGCCAATGCTTTGTCACCAGAGGGTGATCTTTTGCTGTCCCTCTTCTGCCTGCAGCCCCTCTGCCCTGCAAGGGGCTGCCTTGCCAAGCAGCAAGATGAGCAGCAGAGTCTGGGTCGGTTCTCTGATTTACCCAAATTAGATCCCAAACCTCCCCCGAATCATAGCCAGCAGCTTACCCTGCACACAGGGAGGACAAACAGCACCAGAAGCTCCTCCTAAAGCCTCCTCAGGCTGAATTTCTTCCTTAAAAATGTAGCTTGCCCATTTACAACCCAGAGTGTCCCCGAGCATCCCCATGGATGAGCTGCACAGGGATGCAGATGCTCAGGTAAAGGTTGGAGCCATACAGAGGAGGGTAATTAGAGGTTGGCACTGCGGAACAGAGGGAGGTTTTCCATGTTGTGCTGGGCAGGCTGCTGGTGGATGTGTCAGGGGGTGAAGGAGCTGCATTCCAGGGGAGCTGACGCAGCTGCGTGCTGTAAAGCTGCTCCATCACAGACAGGATTCATGCCTGCACCCTTCCAGCAGGCACACTGCCTGCTGCCAGCCCTGCTGCCAGGATTCCATCCCAACAGCATCCAGGATTCCATCCCGGATCCCAGCTCTGCTCGCTGCACCGGGGCTGTGTGTGGCGCTCACCTGCGTGTAGTGGCTGCAGACAGAGCCGCTGCATTTGGAGGGGCAGCGGGGGTTGCACTCGTGGGGGTGAGGGAAGGAGTAGTGCTGCTTCTCCTGGTGCCATGATTTCACCATGTTTATGACGGAGCTGGACCTGCAAAAGGTGCTGTGGGTAAGGTGGACCTCCTCCACCTCGGAGCTCATGGGTGATGGAGAGGAAGGGGAAGGCTCCACTTTGAGGAATGGGGAGAGAGGGGCTGGAGGGAGGGCCTGTCGGGACCAAGTGTTCCTGGGGAGAAGGGGGCAATGACATCCTTGTGCCAAGTCCACTTGTGGAGATCCAGCCCTCGCTTGAAGCCCCTGAGTGCTCAGCTTCATAGTGGAGATCCAGGACCTGCATCCCCCTGGTCCTTGTACCAGGCACACAGGGAATTGATGCCATTCCCCCAGATGAGCAGTGAGCACTTCTGGTTTCCTGTATTTACCCTTCTGCAGGAGCTGGAGCCTCCATCTCCACCCCGGGGGCCTTTATGTGCTTCCTGGTTGCTTCTCAGTCCTTTGCAACCCCAGGTCAGAGCCTCCCTGCTCCTTGACCAAGGGGCGGCTGCTGCTCCTCCTCCTCCAGCATCACGGGGTGTGGGGGGTTCCCAGAGGCCCGCTCTGCCCGTGGGGCACTCACCTGCCCGAGTGGATGAAGAGGTTCTGCCCCACGTATTTCATCAGCTGGGGGGGCCCATGGTCCCACAGGCAGCGCGCAGCCCATGCCTCCGCCGCCCTGGCCAGCCTCTCGTCCCAGACCTGGCCAGGAGGAAGGGAAAAGGGCAGGCAGGGATTTTGGCTGCCCAGAGGAGGGAAGAGGAGAAACCCACTCCCCTGCACTCAGGGAGCACCCGTCAGTGTCCAAAAGCCATGACTTGCATCAGGCTGGGAAAAGCCCAGGGTCAGCACATCAGCATGTTCAGGAGCAATGAACCCCCGCTGCTGCCCATCACGGCTCTGGGCACCACTACCTGGGCAGAGCACTGCCCTGAAGCAGTGCAAGCCCCTGTGTGTGTGTGTGATTCCCTCCAGGAATGAGCTCCTGCTGCAGAGGTGGAGCAGAGCCCAGCTGTGAAACCCCGCAGCCCTGCGCTGCAGCTCGCAGCCATCCGCATCCCTGCGCTGCAGCCTGACCCGTGAGCACAGCTGGATCCTTCATGCATTAGTTAAAGATTCCTCACCCATCCTGAGCCACTCTGGGACAGTTATTTTGGAAGGCAGGAATTTAAGCCAAGCAAGAAGGAGCACGGGATGCTCGTGGCCATGTCTGACCTGCTCTGATACCCAGCAAGCTGGGCTGCTACGTCCTACTCCCAAACCAGCATCCAGGGAACATCCAGCTGGAGCTCCAGTTCCCTCCCTGGGAGCAGATCAGCACCTCCTGCCCCGATGATCCCACTCTGTGGAAATCCCTCCTCTTGGTGACTCCCCATTTCTCCTCCCTTAAGGGCTGCATTAGGAGCTCCAAGCAGGGTGGAGACAACCTGGAGAAAGCTCTGCCCCTGTATGGAGGTGTCCAACCCTGCAAGGCTGCACAGCCCCGCTCTGAACCACACCTGCATGTTTCTTCTCCCAGGGGCTGGCATCCCTAAACATGCTCCCAAGGGACGATGGAGTCTGGGATGGGGCTGTCCCTCCCAGCTGCAATTAGGAGAAAGGCTCCCACATGGGAGCTTGTAGCCACTTCTCTTCCCCTAATGCTACCTCTGCAGCTCGGATGGATGGATCCTGCCATCCCACAGCTGGGAAGCTCCCAGATGTCTCAGCCATAGGACCAGGGGTCCTGAATCTGCCCTTGGTGGACACATCACCCCGTTAGGACTCCATCCCTCCTGCACAGAGACTGCGTGTGTCTGCCCTGCACCAGGGGCATGAAACATCCCCTGAGACAGATATTAGCCATGAATCCAGGGCATCACCTTGACATCCCCATGTGTGGGTGCCCCATCCCTACCAGGTTGGGCGCCCACATCCCAGGCGAGCCCCTTGACCCCACCACAGGAGCTTTGGACCCAAAGATGCTCTGCCAGAGCCCGACTCACCATGTACTCCATGTTGGCAGCGGGGGGGGACACCTGCGCCCGCACTTGGTTGTGGTAGTCCAAAATCGTGCTCCTGTCGCGGGGGGAGAGGTGCCGCTTCTGACGGCCCCGGGGGACCCCCCTGCCCCACAGCAGCCCCGTGGCGCTGCCCCCTGCGGGGGACAGGAGCTTGGTGGCGTTGGGCAGCAGCCGGGAGCTGGACTCTTGTGGCATCCAGAAGGCCAAGGCAGTGAGGAACAGCGGCAAGCGGAGCACAGTCATGTTAGCCCGGCCGGCCGGATGGACCAGTGGCTTTCTGCTCCTGCACAGAGTGAAGGAAGACCACCGGTCCCTGCGGCCAGCACGTGGATCTAGGAGGGAAGCCAACGCTGCACCACTCAGGTTTGCAAACACTGCTTCCCGGAATAAGATGGAAATATACTTTCCTGCTTAAAATTAATCTCCTCAATAACATCGTTCATCACAGCATATTCCCCAGCACCGGCAGGGAGATGCCTGGGGAACTGGTTTTCTTATTGCTTCCTTTAAAATCGGTACAAAATCTCCCCCATTTTTACAGCCATTGCACGTACCTGTCAGGCAGGGAAGCACGCTGAGAAACTCGCTGCAGCCTCCTGCCCTGTAGCTTCCCACATGTTTGGTGTGTTGAATAAACCCCCAACACAAATGGAAATCTCATATAGATAAAGAAATGCACGGCAAAATTGTACCAGTAAGAAATTCTAATGACTCCTTCCTTACCTCAGGGAAAGACAAATCAGTGCCTAAAGCAGAATTTTCTGCTTTTCTGAAAGAGTTCTAGAAGAAGGGAAATGGGTTGAATGAATGAAATATTCCCCCGTCTGTCAGCCGACGTCTGTCTGGCACTTCCTAGGATCCCTGCCAGCCCTTCCTCGGAGCAGCGCGGAGGATATGCTCCCAACACACACCTTGAGGACTGAGCAGACGGTGGGAGTGTCCTTCGCGACCAACCCGCTGTGGCAGATGCAGGAGGGGTTTAGCCCCGGCGGGCAGCCCGCTGCAGCGCCTGATGCATCCTAACTCTGCCCCTCGAGAGGGTCATGAAGCTGGGAAGGAGCCCTGTGCTACGAGACTTATAGGCTGCTGGGTGCCTCCGCACGCAGGAGGGCTGGCAGTGACACTGAGCTGTGCACGATGCTGGCCGGGGGGAGCGAGCAAAGCCCAGCCCAGCCGTCCATCAGACAGCGAAGGGCGTTTGCTACTGGATGGGAGTTTAACCTATTCTGGCATATTCACAGTTCTGTCACCTCCTCACCCCCCGTCGGCTGCATACGAAACGGAGGAGGGCTTTTTCCCTGGCAAGGCAGCCGGTCTGGCACTCATCCCAGACGGCTGGGACCACCGCACTTCGGGGTGAGCAGACAACAGAGATGTGGCTGGGACGGGAACCAGTGACCACACGTATCCCTGTGCCAGCATCTATCCCTGTTAGAAATGCCAGGTTCCTCAAGGAATAGGCTTGCTGCAGCCCATGGGGCTCTGCCCCTGTGCCCACCGCTGCCCTGGGCTGGTGATGCCCAGCCAAAGGTATCTCAGGGGAAAACAGCCCTTCCTCTGCAGGCTGTGCTGCCTCAGGCTTGGACTGGTGTCCAAGTGTCTGTCCCCACGGAGGGGAAGTAGCTGCACGAGTCTGAAAGCCAAAGACAATCACGAAGCATCAGCATCCCAAGCGGTCAGGATGCCTGGGGCCAGCTGAATTACTGCAGGTGACAGACATGTGAGCCTGGCAGGCTGCAGGGGCTGCTTGCAGTGCCCCTCACGCCTCTTCCTCCCACCTCTGTGTTGTGAGGCAGCGTGAGTGGCCATGTGTGAGCTGCAGCGGGGCTCACTCCCGTCCTTCCCCCATGCCACGGGGCCACAGGTAAGCAAGGTGCTTACTGGGTTCACCAGGACACAGCTGGGTTGGAGTCAGGATTTGGCTTTTTGATTGCATGACGGGAAGCACCAAGGCCAAACTCCCTCTGCTGAGCCAGCAGGAGGCACAGAGATGGAGACATGGAGCTGAAACCAGCATGTGCCCAGGGAAAAGCTGGTGCTCAGAGAGGGAGACGGGGGCTGCCGGGATGGTGCAGGGGAGGAGAAGGCAATCCCACAGCAGCAGCTTCTTATCCTTACTGGTTTGACTGGGACGAGGATCCCAGGCACACAACTCCTGCCCCATGCTGGGACTGACAGCACATCCAGAGCCCAGTCAGCTGCACCCAGCACCCCAGAGACCCACTGTGCAGCAGAAGCCGACCAGGAGCTCAGAGCGGAGCAGACCCAAGCATGGAGCAGGAATAGTGCCCGGGTGCTGAGCTGATGTGCTCTATTAACACAGCCTCACCCTATTGGGAGCCTCTGCCAAAACAGTCCCCTGTGTATATTTTTCCTGGCACCTGCCTGCCCATAAAGCAACTCAAGATGCTGCAGCCCCCCGGGAATGGCTGGAGACACGTGCCGAGGGGTATTTCCATCCACTCCCCACCCAGCAGGTAGGATGATGCTTTTGCCAGGAAACCACTGCTGAGGCATCTCCATTCCCTCTGCTGTGCCTCGGGAGGCAGCAGCACCCCATGAACCGTGCAGGTGAGCAGGCTGCTGAGGGCCGTGCCATGCCACGGACGCCAGTGCTGGGCAGGACAGGGTGTCAGGATGGCTTCCAGAGCACACTGGCTTCCCAGGCTGTCTGTTGTAGGGTCTAACCAGCTCAGCTTCCTCTTCCCAGCACCAGACCACCCCAAAACACCAGCCACCTCTCTGCAGGTGCCAGGCAAAGCACCATCCCCAGTTTGCCAGTCCTACCAACACCCCTACTTAATGTTCACAATATGCAGAGGTGAGTGCCAGCTCTGGGGCTGGCAGCTGGACAGCACTTTGTACCGCACCAGGACGGCACATGCCAGGGCTGCCTCCTCCGCTCAACCCCAGGTATCAAATCTCTCATTAGTAAGGCTGGTAAAGGCGGTTTCGTTCCCAGCGGATTAGAAAGGCAGATGGGGACACACAGCAGCAACCATAACTGGGCAGACTGGGGACGTGGTTTAGGCAGACTCGAGAAGCAGCCGCACATGGAGGTGGGAAGGGCACTGGGGCTGTGTTATGGAGAGTTTTGGGGGGGTTTATCAGAGCAAATGATCACCCAGCACCATGAATTGCACAGCTTTGCATCTGAGACTTGTCTTGGAGTGTTTGTTTCCCTGGGGAGAGCAAACCCCCTGCACATCCCACCGCCACACAGCAGCCGAGCCCCCAGCCTCTGCGCGGGGACCAGGCAAGGGTTTTGTCTTGTGTGCAGGTTGAAAGCACTGCTTAATCAGCACTCCGTGGGACAATCTGAATTCCAGGGACTTGAAAGGAGCTTGTGTCCCTGTCAGGCGCAATATCCTGCAGCCAGACTGGCCCAGCCGCCAAAGCACAGTGGAGCCAACAATGTGCACACGCATTCAGCTGGATGCACGATGACTCTATAAGCAGTGGCCAGCCAATTCTCATTTTAATGAGCATCAGGAATAAAAAGAGATAAACCACTGTGCTCACAGTGCTCTCTTGGCACACCCCCCCACAGGTGCTTTTAAGACCAACAGACAGCAGCTTGCTCCAGGATAAGCCACAATGGGACTTGCAGGATTTCTTTGTCATGTTTGTTTCTCCCATCTCTTGGCTTCGGGCATCACCCACCAGCCATGTTTCAAGGCAGCACATGGTGACATGAGCCCACATTGGACTGAGCAGGGCTTTGACCTTTCCTGTGGTCCCTGAGCATCCCTATGCCTGGAGGTGGTCGATGTGGCTTTCCGTAGCAGAATCCTTCTCTTTACTGGAATGAAACAAAACGAAAGAAAAGCCCTGTTTGAACAAAACTGGTTTCCCAGGTAATGCACAAACTGTGTTGCTCTAGTAAAACATTGCCCTCTTATGAACCAGCAGGAAGGATCATTTCCCAGCTTTGCTGGAAGCTTTCCCCAAGTCCTCCCCCAAACACCACCAACAGCTCCAGCCGCCCTGGTGCCCACCCTGGCAGGGAAGTAAAGTGGGGCTTTTGACATCTTTTTGCATTTCTAGAGCCCTGTAGAGGTCCAACACATCCAGAGCCTGATTTCTCCTCATGCTTCATGAAAGGAGATCTTCCTTGTGACTCAGAGATCAGAAGATTTGATCTCCACATCTTGTGATGTAAGAAAACCCAGGCTGAATTCCTGTACATTTGTTTGTGATCTCCATGGAGTGAAACACCCCATTGAGCTCCAACCCAACTAAGATCAGTCTTGAAGACTGAGGACTTCAGAGTCCTCCTCCTTGCTAGTTCAGACCAGCTCCTGTACACGTTCAATCCCTTTCTGAACCAAGCTGAGCCATGGAGGAAGATGTGTGGAAAAGACAAATCCCATGCTCAAGAGGTGACCTGCTTTTGTGGCATGAGGTAAAAACTACTCGTTTTGGGGTACTAAGGTGTCCATCAAGGCTAATGGGGGATCCTACACGTTCTCCATGGTCAATAGGTGGGTGTCAGCCCTCCCACCTCTCTTCCCATCCCCAATGGCACTGTTGGAGCTGTGGTCCCCACCAGCAGCCTTACAAGGCAGCTGTGAAGACCACTGGCTCCAGCCAGCACCAAGATATAATTGGAGCCTTTGAAAGGTGAGAAACGTTTCTGCCAGCTCTAGAAATAAACACCTCTGAAGTCGAGCGCTGCGGACGGGAGCTTTGCGAGGAGGTATTTTTCACTGTAAATTTAAGGGCTAAGTTTAGAAATCCACTTAACGCATCGAGCTCCTCTCAGCAGAATCCGGAAGATGGTTAGTGCGATGTTTGCTAACAATTTATTTCTCAGCTGTGGGTGTGTGATGGTCTCACTGTGCTCTGCCGACGTGAGAGGATCCAACAGGTCAATGAAAGGAAGGGCCCAGCACACTGTGAGTCAGCTGAGAGCAAGATAGACCCAAACCTGGGAGCCAAGCATCAGCTGTGACCTCCTTGCTTGTGCTTGTGAGCACCTGGTCCTGGTTCACCAGCAGGTTCTCGTGGCTGCACAGGGAGGTCTTGTCCTTGTTGTTCCTCTTCTCATGTGCCCAGGCTCCCACTGTGTCACCAGCAAACACCCTCCAACCATCCCCACCAGTGAGCAGTTCACTGTCTCCCATGGTTTTGCCACAGAAAAATGGGAGCGATTCTCCCCACTTCCTCAGCGTGGAGACACACTTCCAGGGTCATTTCTCCCTGACACACTGACACGTGAGTTCCTGAAAACCCTGGAACTG